GTTACATACTTTTAACAAAACCATTATACCCTGATTTCCCATTTTCAATGGGTTCAGGGTATAAAAATGGCACGTTACAAAAAAGAAAACATCATATTTTCCAATAAATTAACAAGTAAAATGCTACAGAATTGGAGAGTGAAAAAAATATCTAGATATTTCCAAAGACATTCGAATGTTGCATAAGCCGAGCGCATCTCAAACGCGAATTTTTAAATGAGCAGCAACAACAACGTGCAGATTGAAAATTGATTGTAAAATATTGAGAGATTTGAAGGAAAAAAAAGAGATAAAAAAAATACAAAAACTAGTTGATATTTCGATTCGAATTTATAAATGAACTAGCGAACATATATTATAGCAACTTTAAATATGAGAAATACTAAAAGCCAGAGACTTTAAATGTAAAATGTAAATCGCGTCTGATTGGGTTCAAATTGGCAAATCATCTCTGCTCTAAGCATCTCACTTCCTTGACTCCGTCCCAGCCAAGAGTTTCCTTGGCCCCCATTCGGGCTGGCTCATCTCTGCGAGCTTGTTGCACTTGCTCCACTTGGGAACTGATTAAGCACTACGATCTTCGATACGAGAGCAAAGCATTTTGTTGACATGGCACACTTTCAACGATATGCAAGAAATTTTTCCATGACACTTTGTGGGGAGATTGCGTGCGACTAAATATCAGTTTTTGTTTTGTTATTCGTTTTGAGTCCTTTCTCAACTTTTGCAAATTGTTTATTTTCGCATTAAGTAATGCTTGCACACATACACATACACACACAGAGACACTTTACTACACTCACATTTTGGATACGCGCTTAGCGCCCGATCTGCCACCAGCTATATATATATCTATATATATATTGGGCTTGGGAGTTACTGGAATGGATGGCAGGTGCTACAGCTGAGAATGCCGCGTAACGAATGAAGCTAAATCGCCAACAGCCAATGGCATATATACTTCACTTAACTTATGTGCGACGGCAACGACAACGACAACGGCGACGGCGACGGGGACGGCAACAGCGTCGTCGACGACGTTTTAAGCAAAACCTCGGCCAACGCTGAAAAAAAAAAAAAAAAAAAAAATAAACGGTTAAAAATTATTTAAATTGTTGTTGACTGCGAAGCTAGCAGATTTTCTCTCTCTCTCTCTCTCTTTATCTCCCTCTCTCTTTTTATATCTCTCTCTCCTCCTCTCTTTCTCCCTCACTCACACACTCTCTGCTCTAGCATTGGTTTGAAAGCGCGCTAGACTAAAACTTAAAAAAAATCGCGTGTTATATTGCACCATCGAGAATTTATGAGTTCAAAAATATTGACAAATTCGTGCCTTTTATGATAACGGAAACGACCAAGCTACGCTTGAATCATAAGCATAAATCCATTTCTAGGTTCTCGACAGTCCTGACTTGAAATAAATTCAAGCAACAACACGCGCTGAGTTGTTTGCTTTGTTAATTAAAACTTATAGTTCAAAATCATGCATATTTTTAGCATGCCCAAACGAAATACCCCAAAAACTGCAAGAGATTCAAACACTGACTACCGCATACCCTTCACAATAAATGGAGTGTGAATAGTTTGCTATAATTTACTATTCGAGTGATTAACGATTAGATTGATGCTGATTGTAATCAATTTTTGTTATAACTATTATAATCTGTACTTTAGCTCGTTGAAGCATTAAGTATATGCCGCGTATGGCAATCAAATGAGACGCAAGCTCAGTTTTATCAAAAACCAGTCATCATTTCAACTAATACGTAAAATATTTTTGTTTACTTATTTTTTAATTAGCGCGTTTAACAAATGCCTGCAAATTTGGCAAGCAAGCGTTAAATTAGCATGAGATAATTAAATATATTTTTTACAACCGAAAATTCTGAAATTTTATTGAAGCATTGACATTACGTTTAAATTGTTGAACTTATTTATGAAGCTTTTTTATTTCAAATCTAAATTAAATAATTATCAAATAATACAAAGCCGTCTGATTGCTTTCGTTAGCTGACCAATTGAACCTCATTAGAGTATCCAATAGTCGTCAAATTAGATGAATCGGTATATCTGAAAAGTCAATGTCACCAAAGAGCTACCCAGAATAACCCTTCCTTGCCCACACACACTGCGGCTACAGATCATCATCTAATCATGCTGCGAGAGACTTTGATAAAAACTGTAAACGCTCGTGACTACTACAAGTAGAAGCTGTAACCTACTCGGGACGCGCGAATGTGTTGTCAGATAATTAATTTTATTGATGCATTTAGCTGCCTGAAGATAAGCCGCGATGAGTTTTTGATAACAGTTGTTAATTTGCTTTGTGTTCGTGCCCTCTTAGTGGTTATCTAAAATGTTTCCCGTAAGAGAAACATATGTTTTAACATCCATAATATTTCATTCACCAAGCCCCCGATTTGGATGCATTGATTAAAACAGGTTTTATATTTTATTAATATATTTTCGCTTAACAATTCTCTGCTTTCGAGTTGCTTTAGTGGTACAGCAGCATTTAAAAACGTACTAGAACATTTGAATGACATAATTTTGCACTACTTAGTTAAATTAATTTAAATTAATTGCGTGGTAAATGAATATAGGTGCATATATCGAAGAATCCTTGTACAATAGTAGCTCGTCAACAAAATGCCTTTCAGGACATGTTCACATAAAGCATGCGCTGTGCACATACCCTACCCACGAGTTTGCTGTACTCGATAATCACATCGCGATCGACATCATCGTCATCTTTCTGTCAACAAAAACAAACCAACAAGGAAATTATTTCATTCGATGAGCTGGCAACAAATAAAGAAGTATTTACTTGTATGAATCTCCCGTAGTTGATGCAGGTCTGTGGGTTGATAAGCAGCATTACATCATTTAAATGCTGATTTAAAAACTCATTCACGTCCTTTGCCGTGGCATCCGGATTTAAGCGCTGATACTTTTTAGCGTCAAGTTTGCTGCGTATTTCTAACGAAAATACAAAACATAATAAAGTCAGCATAAATATTTAATTAGCAGCAATCTGTTAAATACCATCAGTTAACGGGAACCAAACGTAAGTCTCGGGGCAGAGTAAATAGGAAGCAGACAGTTTGCCTTTGTATCGCATCTTGGGACAAGAGTGTATGTAAAAGCCCATATAGTAATACTTTAGAGCGGGCACTCGCTCGGCAAGTGTTTGCACCAAGTCGATTTCCCTATAATCAAAAAAGCCGTAAGTATATTAGTAATTATTATTTGCAAGGTCGACTCTCTAAGCTCACCTTAAAGAACCATATGTGCCCAAGGATAAAAAGCTATAGTCCGGGTCGTAAAAAAAGTACACTGAGCTAACCGAGCCTGGCAGTATATCAATGACCCCAACAGCGATCAGCTTGGTGTCCAGCCAATATTGCTGATGAAAAGATCCATAGCCCACGTTCGGCAAATCATCAATTTTTTTGTGCTGTAAATAATGGCAACATACAGATTAGAACTGCATTTTTATGATCCATGAATTTTGTTGTTCAACATTTCTTATTTGATTGATTGGCAACCTTGAGGGGCGAGTGTTGCAGATGTTCCTGGTAGGCTTTCATATTTTTTGGCGGATCATGGTGTATAACAATCTGATACTTCTGATACAGCTCGAAGCTTTGCGGCAACGTGCGCTTGAATTCCTCACCATCGACATTCACCAAACGCAGCTATGGATTTATAAAACAAAAAAAGAAAACAGATTGTCATTGAAAATTACCTTTAAGGGTGATTTAACCCAATATCGGCGCATGCTTTCTAATGATAGGCGTGCAGGATTATCATTGTGTATGACTAATTGATATTTGCGATACAATGCAAATACTGCATCGGTACAAGTGCGCTGTGTATCTGAGGCAGGCACCAAGGCGATCTGCAACAAATAGCACAAATACGATGTGTGTACATAGAAGGGACAACAATGGAGCACACGTGATACATTCAATATATTCAATATATTTATACCAGGCAATACACACAAACACACATTCTCACAAACGGATGCAATGTATACACATTTGTCGCACTTATTCTTCCTAACAAATAAGTAAGCATGCAGCTCGAGAAAGTTAAGCATTAGCTTGCTTTGATACATACAATACTTAGTTAGTGGCAGCTCTTATCTCGAGCTGCCTAGGAATAAGTTCGCTTATCGATTTCAATGCATACATACAGACCTTTAACTGATGCTTATCAGTTTCCTTGGGGGCAGACAGAAAGTCTTTTAAGGTTTTCTCTTGAATTTTCGGCTGCGGCTGTGGCTGCTCATGCGGAACGCCCAGCTTGGCTTGTCTGCGTTCGATACGCATTTGTTTCGCCTTCTTGCGAGGCGGATTCAAGTTGGGTGCAAGTGCTACATAGGAAAATGCATTTAATCATCATATGTACATATATATATATTAGGCAAATATCTGATAACTCACTTTTAATTTTGTTGTTTGCTAACAACGAAGCCGATGGGTCGCCTGACACTTGAATGGTGTTCGTTGTTTTGATTTGTTCAACATGCGCCTGAACTAAATCCTCAACATGCTCTACGTTGAGTACTGAGGGCTTCTTATCAGGTAGCTGTGGTTGAGACTCATTTGCACTACCCGACACATCAACGTCATCGCCATCACCATTTTTCGGTTGACCCGGCGAATGTGCCTGCTCGTTCGGCTCACGCTTGCCATCCCGCAGAAACTTATTCATGCGCCTCAAAATGCGTTTATTGGACTTGGATAGTTTGAACTCCAGAGCATCGCACTTAATCGTGTAGCAGGGACAGCAGGTTTTGTCATTCTGCGGCTTATAACAATAGTTGCCGCAGCGTCGCCAGCCCCGATCGATGAGGTCTTGGTAATCTTCGCAGGCTAAGCGATATGCATGCATACCTGTATAACGAACACACAAAGAAATAAGAGAGTCGCAAATAAATTCTCTGCAGTACACTTACCATGCGATTTGCTGCAGTTGGTGCCCGAGCAGTAGCCACATTTGTTCGTCTGCTCGCCAAAGTACTGCACAATGCTTACACTCATTATTGCGTATACTGTTCTCCTTACACTCACGCAGTCCTTTCTTACATTATTTTTTAATTTGAGTACTATAGTTTAAATGAATAAGAATCTGCAGCGAATACGATGCACCGATTCTTCTGTTGCGAAATAAAATAAATGTGATGGTATGCTATGCTATCGATATATCGATGTTATGAATTAGTGCTGGAAAACTCACGGTCATTTGCTGTTTAATCCAGAGCTGATCAGCTGAGACTGAACTAGTTCTGTTTTATTATTTGCGGTCAATTGTTGTGATTGTGCTTGAGTTACCTACTTTGATTGGAATGGTAGTGAATAATACTAACGAATAGAGCTTGCTAAAATAAAACTAATTGATATAATAGAAACCATTGCTAAAAGGCATCATGAAATGATTCATTAACTTAATGAACTAAAAAGCGTGTTTAGACGGAAACTACACTTAATCAACACTATTGCATGCCATAGTGCGACAGCCGAATTTAAGAAATAGTTTAATTACCTGAATTTAAGTGTTCTAATTAGCCATGAAGTGAATTAGCTATTAGGTGTATAAAAACAGTAAGTTTCTAATATCCGCACTTCATCTGTGATGACAGATTTAGGCAAACCTGCCATGTAATTCGAAACGGAAAATTGAGTAGTGCGCAGTTTGTAAAGTGAAAGTTGTTATACTCCAAATTATAAAGCTTTTAATTGGTGAAGTGTATATCAGAAAGCCATAGCTATAATTAAATATGCTGATATTCCAAATATATGATGATATTTTAAGTGAACATCTTCAATTAATTAATATTGTTCTGTTGATTTTTCAGATCCGCAATGATTGCAGCGGAAGCATCTGAGTTGAGCAATCACTCTCCCAAGCCAAATGCTCACTTTGAGCATAACATCAAGTTGGCTCGATCGAAAGAAGAGCTCAATGGAAAAGTAATAGTAGCACAACCTGTCCCTGCCACACCTACTGTACCCGCCGATTTGAAGCCTACCTATCTGAAATTGTACACCAATTGCCAGGACCACGCCGCCTACTTTGCCAAGGATCACACGGAGTATGGACAACGGCTGCATGCCGCACATATTGCCTGGCAAGATTTCATAGTGCTTGCGAATCGTCTGGTGCTGCAAATCGAAGCATTTGCCCATGAATATGATTTTGACGAATCGACACCAGGAAACGGATATCGTAGCTTTATCTATGTAACCAATGCTTGCATCGACCATGGGCTCGGTATTTGCCAGCACTTGCTTGCCACTCGCGCCACGCTCTTCTTTCGCAAGAAGTTCTACATGAAGGAGGTAGAGGCATGCTCCCAGTTGCTGTGCTCGATCTGCACCTGCTTACAGTATCTGCTGATACTGCGACAATGGTCCATGAATACGGGCGATCTGCTGGGCAGCGGCCGGCATACGGCCGAACAGCTCTTCGAGTTGGGCGACACCATCAATCAGTATTGTTTCTATGGCCGCTGCTTGGGCTTTCAGTATGGGGACTCCATACGTGGTGTCCTTCGCTTTCTAGGCATCGGCATGGCCAGCTACTCGGAAACGTATTACTCCCAGACAGACAATAGCAGCAGCTCACTGCTAAAAACCACTCGCAGCCTATGGTCGAGCGGTAAATACCTTATGAACCCGGAGCTGCGCGCCAGACGTATTGTAAACATTTCGCAGAATGCGAAGATCGATTTCTGCAAGTCATTCTGGTTTCTTGCCGAATCGGAGCTCATGCACAAACTGCCCAGCATTGTGGGTAGCTCCATCAAAGTGAATCGCATAATTGAACTGCCCGCTGAGCCCCTTCGTTTGCCAGCACGTGTGCAACAACCGGTCAACGGCGCGGACAATGACAATGACAATGAGGTGCAGTTCGTTGATATACCCGTGCCCAGTTCACATTTAGGACCAGGTCTGCCGGTGTCGGTGCGCCTACTCAGTGCGAAGCGACGCGCTGGCATGCTGGGCGAAGGGCGCTATCGTGGCTGGCGTCGCCCATCGGCGCCCTCGAAGTCGATACTATTTCACTGTCACGGCGGCGGCTTTGTAGCGCAATCTTCAAAATCGCATGAGCTATATCTACGCGACTGGGCTGTGGCGCTGGACGTGCCAATACTTTCGGTGGACTACAGCCTGGCACCGGAGGCACCCTTCCCACGTGCCCTGGAGGAAGTATACTACGCCTACTGCTGGCTGCTGAACAACGCGCAACACCTCGGAACCACCGCAGAGCGTGTGATTTGCGCCGGTGATTCAGCGGGCGCTAATCTCTCCATCGGCTTGGCACTTAAATGCATTGAGCAGAATGTACGAGTGCCAGATGGTCTGTTTCTGGCTTACTGTCCTACGCTAGTTAGCTTTGTGCCCAGTCCGGCGAGGCTGTTGTGTCTAATGGATCCGTTGCTGCCCTTTGGCTTTATGATGCGCTGCCTGCGCGCCTACGCGGCGCCGTCTAATGAAAAAATGCAAGAGAAGCATTTGGAGCAGCTAGAAGAAAAGTGCAATGCAGAAGCAGAGGCACGCGTTGGGGAAGTGGAGAAGCTAGCACTCAGCATCAACTCCAGTCGACGCACCTCGACGGCAAAGAGTCCGCTGACACCGCTCGAGCCGCTTAATCGTTCGGATGAGGATGAGAGCAGCGATACGTTTGCCAGCGCCTCCTATCACAGTCAAACGGTAGAACGCACAGATCTGCCTAGCACTGATAATAGCGATAATAGCTCCTGTGTGTCGTTCGAGGATGACTCGCAACCCATCGAACATTATCCGGTTGACATTTCTGCCGAGATACCGAATGATGCCGAATCTGCCGCCTATATTGACAATTTTCTAGATAAATATCTGATTGATACGGCTACCATAGAGGCCACTGAGGACAACACAACAGCGCCGCCGCCATTGCCACTGGCCAATGGTGTCAACAAGAGCAACTCCGAAGAGAACATTATAATTGAGACAGGTCGTGAGATAATTGTGGATACGCTGCCAGGCCGCTTGCAGGAGGCTGTTAATAATATCATTAATCGCTGCACCCAATCCTATGAGATACAGAACACGACGACGTCTGGTCAGCAGGATGTTCGCAATTTAGATGCTTTGATTGCCCGCAGTCCCAGCGAAGAGTTTGCCTTCGAGGTGCCCAAAGATCCGTTTCTGTCCCCATACTGGGCCAGCGACGAGTGGCTCTCCCAATTACCCGAGACCAGAATACTCGTAAGTGAAGATTGAACTAAATATACAATTGACGACGAGTATATTCATTTTTAACTTAAACTTATCTCCTGCAGACGCTTAACATGGATCCTTGCCTCGATGATTGCGTTATGCTTGCCAAAAAGCTGAAGCGTCTGGGTGGCCAAGTCCACTTGCAGATACTTGAAGGCTTGCCCCATGGCTTTCTAAATTTTACGATGGTACGAAATGTGTCTCCTTTGAATTTATCATGCAAGCTAATAATAAATCTTACAGTTGTCCAATGAGGCAATGGATGGATCCAAGCTGTGCATCAAATCACTGCAGGCATTGCTCCAGGCAAGTAAAGATAACAACGACGATAGCACCGCATACGACGCGACTTCCAGTCCCAGTGCGTGCTCAGCTGCATCGCCGGCGCCTTAAACAGAATATGTACTAATCCTTACAAGCATATATTATACATACATATATATGTGTATATATATACATATTTATATTCATATATTAATATTTATACACGGTTTGTTATATGCAACATGGACATGTTGTTTGTGTCGCACAATTCTTGCTTTTTGTCGCATCTCAAATGTTTTTTATACACTTTTATATATGATATTATGAACAACAGAATTAGATTAGCTTTATATGTTTTGTAATGGCAGCTCTAGCTAAAATAATAGATAGGCTAAGGCTTCCAGATTTACACAGCCAATTGTTCAAGTATTGAGAGCGTGCAAACACGCTCTAAAATATATTCTAAGAAAGAGAAATGTACTCGCACAACACTCATGCAAACTCTCAAAAATGTGCCTGTTATGAACGAGTACTTAGCCTAAGTTGATGACATTCGAAAGCTTGCAAAGTTTTATAGAGAACAAAGCTTATATCATTTGCAAATGATCATTTTGACGAATTTCAGTTGCTGTTAATTCCCGACAACAGATTTAGGCGATCTGCTATAATTTAACCACATGCCAACTCTCTTGATATTAAATGTACCCAGTGTTATAATATTAAATGGTTATTGCCAAACAAAAATAATTTATAGTTTGAAATATTTTTTATTGGCCAAAGGAAATGTTGAATGAAAGATCTTAAAACTTAGATGTCGTATGTAAGATAATTAGTATGCGGTAAATGTAAATATGTAAATATGAATACGTTCTGAGTAAATCGCGCGACAGCCTTATGTTTCGTTATCTTCAATCTTTGGCGCCAAATAGTAGCGTATGTGACCCAGATCCTTGATGGCGTATTCAACCACCAACGGCACATCGGCGCACATGGACAGCTGCACCTGGGTAGAGAGCGGCGTTGCCTTGGTGAAGGCGTTCAAGTAGCGACAAGCAAAAGTTAGAGTGACTGGTTCCTGCATATCAATGATAACCGCCTCCTCCTCTTTGTCCACTGATCCGGTTTGAGCCAACTTAATATTGGCTGTTCCAACATCACCGCTGGCGGAGAACTTGACGCCCTCTTTCGTACAGCATATGACAACAGATTCACTGAACTGAGCCAAGTCACGACAGATGCGCGCAAATTCGATTGCCGGCATGCGCACCACACAAGAATACTCTGTTTCTGGAATACCCAAGTGCTCCTGATCGAGATTCATTAGCTTCATCTCATAGTCGGAGACTTTTTCTTGATTAGCCGACTCGAACATGATGGTCACTGTGTCGGCATTATCCTGTGCCTTCATAGTCACATTATCCTCATTATTAGCACACTTCAAGATCTTCGCCATGCTGCCCAGATTCATGCCCATGGAGAGATTACGATCACAGCGGAACTTATCAAAACCATCGGATCTTAACGTCAACGAAACCAGCGACACGTGGGAATTGTCCATGGCCTGGAGCTGTAAATGAAACATATTGCCTTTTATAAATATCTTGTATAAGATCCAAACAGGCTGTGGCGGTTCTTACCTGTATGCCAGAATCGCTGCAATCGAAAGTACCTTCATTGAGCAAATCTTTGATGGCATCCAAGATTTTCTTCAATATCGTGGCTTGTCCCAAACGTGCCTCAAACATTTTGATTATTTAGCTTTAATTATATTTGTGGAATGATAGTTTTTGCAATTCCGCCGAGCGACTTGGTGCTGCGTGTTGCCTATGAGACTATTTAATGAATTCTACCGCGGTAAAACTCGCATTTTGGCGCGAACAGCTGTCAATTTACGCTGGGCACAGCGTTGCCCAATCAGTTCAATGTACAAATATATTTAAGAAGGTTAAATATATGTAGCCCTGGTAGATATTATAAACTGTATGCTTAAATTTATTAAAAATTAATATTCCGTTTAGTTACACACACTTAATGATATTTATTTACTAATTTGTTCTGCAGAAAATTCCTTGGTTTTAATATCTGACTCAATTCATTTATTCCAAGGCCTAGAAATATTTTTGTTTCAAATAACAATTTTCCTGTATGCAATTAATCTACATACTTACCATGCACAGTTCGTAAATTTGGTGTTCCTATAGGATCTATGGTCATAAAATATTCCACCAAAACTTTGTGCTGTCGCATGGCTGCCACACAAACTGCTGGTATTAGCGAGGATAAATTAAAGTCCTGATATGGGCGGCGCAGCAGTAACTCTAGTACTAGCTGCAAGTTTCCAGCATAACTGGCCAACGTTAGCGCATTTTGGCCAAAATAATTGACGGCGTAAATATTTGCACCGAATTCTAGCAATGTACGTGCACATTCCAATCTACCTAGGTAGCAAGATTTGAGCAAAGCTGTATTTCCGTACATATCCACTTCTTCAATATTATACTGTGGATTAGGCTCTACCGTACATATAGTACGCAATGCCATAACGTCATTCGAGGTTACACAGCTAAGCGCTAGAAATATTTATATGTAAATATCATACACACATTTAAATATTGAAGAATATTTACCACTCATTATTATAGTAGAAACTTATTCGATGTAACGGCACTTTTCCCAGGGCTACCCCGTTCAAAGTAACCCTGCAAAATTCTATAAACATTACGTTTTTAGCGTTGTTGCACACAGCTTTTCGAACTGTCAACGTCAAAAGTGGAAAGAAGCAGCACATCCGCTTTCTTTTTCGGCTGAATAGTTGTCGCTTAAACAGGGCAAAATGGTGCGTCTACATATAAATCATGAAATATCTACCCAATCAAACAACAAAAGTTGCACTTCTTTGCCATAATAACAAGTGCACGTCAAACTATACGCGGTGAAACCAAAATGGTGCAGTTAAATAATGTAAAAATGGCTAAATAATTGCGCTGACTTGGGCGGAAATGCAATTTCTGCTTTTGTTGTTTACGATTTGTACCGTACCAGTGAATTCACGAATAATACAAATATGTTTTGCATTGCAGTCGCTCGTCATCCCAGAGAAGTTCCAGCACATTCTTCGTATCATGAATACGAACATCGATGGCAAACGCAAGGTTGGCATCGCTATGACCGCCATTAAGGGTGTTGGTCGTCGCTATTCCAACATTGTGTTGAAGAAAGCCGATGTGGACCTAACCAAGCGTGCTGGTGAATGCACCGAGGAGGAGGTAAATATTAAAGTAACAAACTGGAGGACAAATCTATTTACATTGTTTTTGTTTGTTGTTCGATAGGTTGACAAGGTAGTCACCATCATTTCCAATCCTCTGCAATACAAAGTGCCCAACTGGTTCCTTAACAGACAGAAGGACATCATTGATGGCAAATACTCGCAGCTGACCTCATCTAACTTGGATTCCAAACTGCGTGACGATTTGGAGCGCTTGAAGAAGATCCGCTCGCATCGCGGTCTGCGTCACTACTGGGGCCTGCGTGTCCGTGGTCAGCACACCAAGACAACTGGTCGTCGTGGTCGTACCGTGGGTGTGTCCAAGAAGAAGTAAACTTGCGGCTGGCTGATGCAGCATCGATTCCTGTATACAGGCTGACGCTTCTATTGGTTATGATTCTTCTATACACTATACACAAAACAAGAAAAAACTAATTAAAGTGAAAAAAAAAAAAAAAACCTAAAAAATCGGGTATTCAAATTTCGAGTGCAGTGGTTTGTGGTTGGAAAAAAGTGAACAAATTTTACTACAGCTCTAACAGGCTTTTGCAACTCCTTCAAAAGTTGAAACCTAGCATTATATTTCAACAATTCTGAGAGCGTAGCCAAAATTAAAATGTCAACGCTAGTGGAGCCTCGAGTAAAAAAACACGGCGCTTGTAAGAAGTTGCGGTTATTAATCTGCAAGAATCTGAGCATACATTTGGCTCATCCCATTGGAATGGCGTTCATACTATTGTTTCCAATATTCACCTTCATGTATACTCAGCTCGATCAAATCATCAATATTCACACTGCAATCAATATTGATGAAAGGAAATTTGGGTCCATAGACATAATGCAGGTGAATGTACCGTAGGTATTTCGGCATTGCGAGTCTGCTCGATCATCCGATTCGTTTAATTTCCTTCCCTAGCTCAATATTCTATTCACCCCGCAACAAAGTCCTTAACGATGTCATTAAGGACGTGGCCGCGAGATTGGGCACCGAAATTATTGAATCTTATTTGTACGCATCTGATCTTGAAAAAGCACTGCAAGATAAAGATGGTTTTGTGGGCATTGAGTTCGAAGATAATCTTATAAATATTGTTGAATTGCCATTGAAGTTCGATATCGCATTGCGATTTCCGAAGCATTTTCGATCGAATAAGACCTCGATAAAAAGTTGGCAGCCCAATTTGTTCTTAAAGACTTATGACTCCGTCAAGAGCTCCCCCTACGATTACGAGGGCTATCTGGTTGTGCAGGCGAAACTATATGAGGCGTTGCTGCAGAGAAAGAACTATTCGATCCTTGTTCCCCAAATAGGCGTCCGGGCCTTTCCCGAACAGATGTACATGAATTTTTCATATTTGACTCCATTATACCATAACCTCTCCGCATACTTTATCTTCATTTATATGGCTCCCTGCTTGATTGTTGGTCAGGTGAGTTTAACGAAAATCTCGGATTCGACGGAACTTTTCTATATCCATCAGGAGCGTAGTCGTTAGCGGAATTCAATCGGAATAAATATTATTCAAGACATACTCTTAAATGCTAATACTTCACATGACCATCGACTCATAGAATTTGGTTTTTCCTAATCTAATAAGTGTCTGCTTGTCCAGAGTCCTCTACTACAATCTAGAAATGAAAATCTAGATCTAGATTAAATTTCATTTGCAACTCACTGTCGTCTATGTCGGATGATACTTAGCTCATAATTTCGAATAGTGTCTAATGCATTCCCCTTTTTGGCGTCCTTTACAGCAAATCGTTTCAGAGAAACATAGACACCTGAGGGAGGTAATGCGCATAATGGGTCTGCCTGTTACGCTGAACTGGATATCGTGGTTTATCGTGGCCTATATACTATATTTTGTACCGACGATCGTTGTTGTTTGCGTTATGAAGTGGTGCATGTGTCCGGCATCCAACTTTCTAGTGTTGATGCTACTTTTTATCATTTACATATTTACATTGGTGTGCTTCACGTTTATGATCATCGGCTTTGTCACCAGCACCCTGATGTCGATGACCTCGTTATTCCTGATGCAGCTCCTTAGTTACGTGCCATTTCTACTGCTGGGAGCTCGTCACAAAAGCTCCTTGGCCATAGTCCTGTCTCTGTTCATGAACAGCGCCATGCCCAGCATATTCCATCAGATTCATAATTTCGAGCTACGGGGCACGGGTGTACAGTGGAAGAACATGTTTCGATACAGCCACCCCGATGACGAGATGACCATCGGTGCCACAATGATGATCATGTTGTTCATGAACGTATTCCGAATCCTAATCGGCATGTATGTCGATCAATTGAATCCTGGCGAATTCGGTGTGGCCAAGAAATGGTATTTCCCTTGCCAGAAGTCGTTCTGGTGCCCATGGAGACGGTATGGCCTTCGATATAGAGATGAAGAGCAAGTATTTCACCCATCCGTATCTGGCAAATCGCAGATCTATGATTCCGACGTGTTTCGCAATAAAAAAGTCATCTTGGAGGCACATAACTTATCCAAGTCGTACGGCAATCACGAGGTGGTGCACGACTTCAGCTTGAAATTCTTTGAGAATGAGATCACTGTTATGCTCGGCCACAATGGATCGGGCAAGTCGACAGCGTTCATGATGCTGGCAGGCATCACAGCGCCCACCTCCGGCATAGTGACCTTGGAAGGCCTTGACATGGCCACGGCTATACAAATGGGCCACTATTCGCTCAGCATTTGTCCCCAACACAATATCCTGTTCAATGAGCTCAGTGCCTATTGGCATATTGTATTCTATAGCCGCCTGAAGGGATTCGAACAGGCCGAAGCGGAAGCTGAGGCCGAAAAGTATCTGGCCATCATGAATCTGTTGGACAAGGCGACCATAAGGGTCGAATATCTCACCACTGGCATGAGGCGCAAGCTCTCCGTGTGCTGTGCTCTGTGCGGCAATACCAAGGTGAGTGCGATCAATGGTGAGATCCAAGGATCTTCACAGATTCCTCCATGTATGCCAGGTGGTGCTCTGTGATGAGCCGACCGCTTGCCTCGATCCTTGCGCGCGCCATGATGTCTGGAACATGTTGCGCATGGAGAAGAATGGACGCTCCATACTGATGGTCACGCATTTCATGGAGGCCGCCGAGGTATTAGCCGATCGCATCGCCATCATGCGTGACGGGCAGGTGCACTGTTACGGCACTGCAGAGAAAATTATTAATAGTCTGGGTCCCGGATATCGCCTGGTAAGTCCGGCATGCTACGCCACTAGCTACATTCAATGCAAATCCCCGGATCTACTCCCAGGTGTGTGTGGCCGACGAAGACTGCAGTGCGGACGAAGTCACCGATTTCCTTAAGGATAACATTCCAAATGTTGAATTGGAAAATATCCTCGGCTCGGAGCTGACGTATCGTCTGCCTGTTCAGCACGTGCACAAATTCACGAATCTCTTCAAGGCCTTGGAGGGCCAGATGGACACATTGAAGCTCTCTAGTTTTGGGGTTAGTGCACCCACATTGCGTGAGACTTTCCTGAAGATAAGTGGACATACGGTTGAACGACGTGCCCAACTAGGTGAACGAGATAGCGAGGATTGTAAGTGACACTAGAAGGGGAACGCATCTGGGATATATGTATGTATATTTATATATTTTTTGATCTAGCGTGGATGACCAAGCCCATGGCGAATCGGGAGCTGAAACGCTCGAAGAAATATCTGAATGACTGGCATGCACTGATGTTTAAGAAGTGTCGACATACTCGCAATCATGCGATATTATACACCGTCGTTATCGTGCTGCCGTTGATAGAACTATTGCTCTTTACAGCTATGCATTCAGTTTACAAACAAGATTTTCTGGAGGAGTTGGATCCCACAGACTTGTCGGGCTATCAGGATCCAATCGTCCTTAAGGAGATGCTGGTGCCAGCTGACGAAGATCCACTTGATTATTATTTAAACAATAACAGAAGGATTGCCGTCGAGTATGAAAATATAGCCATGAATGCGGGCGCCACAGTGATTTCAGTGGGGCAGGAGAGCGTGTCGCAATATATATTAAACCACACTCGACTGGATGAGGAGGGCTTCAGAGAAACCTATGTGGCAGCAGCAACGTTTGACGACACGATCAGGATATGGTTCAATCGACGGATGAACCATGGAGCTGGTCTCTCACATGGCCTAATCTATAGAGCCGTCGCCTCTGCTCTGGCGAACATGGAAATCAGGGTTGTAAACAAGCCGCGTGCCGACTCGGATATGTCAGTTTTGATTGCACATAGCGATCGTCTGGCTCGCATCAATTCCAATTGCCTCTGTGCCTATCTGTGCTTTGCGGTCTCGGTATTCGTTCTGCTGCCCATCTATGAGAAGACATCGCACTTGAGGCATGTTCAGATAATGAACGGCGTTAGCCTCTGGAGCTACTGGCTGGCGAACTTGGTGTGGGACTTGTGCATATTTATGCTGATTATGACAACTTTGCTTCTGTCACGATATCGTCATCCAACAGAATCCCTCTGCTGGTTATCCCTTTTTCTGTTCCTGTTCGGCATCTCCGCACTGATCCTTACCTACCTTTTATCGTTTCTCTTCAAGGACCCGGGCACAGGAATGGCCTATGTGTTGATTTTATATTGCACTATTGGCAAGTACCGGAACAACTCGTTCATCGTTCATCTTAGTCTGTCTTAATTTAGTTATTCATTAATTTTCTACCTTCAATTGATTCTATACAAAATGAGTTTTGAATTCATCTTTCGTAGCTCCTTCAAAGGAACAGCAGAAGATTTTGTTCTGGAGTCAGTAATACGATTTCATTATACTCTTTTCTAGTGTTCTTGGCTGCCTATCTCATCCCGCGGAGACACGATAGGGTCTATATGCATTTTCATAATCTGTTAATGATCCTGCCATTTTATTCGTTGTATGGGGCCGTACTGTTCATATTAACCAACAGCAGCGGAAATAACAATTGTCATGAGGTGGACCGGAAATCCTTTTGCGAATTGCACAGCAGGTGCTGTGGTAAGGCTGGCTCCTACTTGGTTGAAAGCAAAAAGCATGAAACCAAGTCAAGAAATTATCGGAGCTGTGTACTCTTTGCTTCTTTCGGTACTTTCAGATGTAGCCGAGCTGGATATATTCAATTTCCTCGTCTGTCTGATCATAGGCCCAATAATGTTCTTCATACTCCTGATGCTGGCATCGAGAGCGCTGCCCCTGCGATATGCGATCAAGTTTGGTTTGGTTGCGTTTGCCACAAATAAAAGACAATTCATCATCGTCCACTTGAACTACTTTGCAGGTGTCGTTCCAGGGATTGCTCGCTGCGGGACAACGATGATAATGTGCACCGTGCCCGCATGGATATCGACTTTCTGGTCAAAAATGAGGACGAGCTGAAGGCCTGCAGTCTAGTCTGTCGTCGAATCACTAAGAAGTACCGCCGCTATGTGGCAGTCAACTGCGTGTCCCTACAGGTCAATGCGTAAGTACTTATAGAAGATCTCCTAGGTCACGGAAGAAGATAGAAGATAGAGCTACATGTGCATAGGGTAGAGGCTGATTGGTGTGCCTATTGCAGATACGAATGCTTCGGCTTGCTGGGACCGAACGGTGCCGGCAAGACGAGCACTCTGGGCATGGTCGCTGGAGTTAAAATAATTTCCGACGGCGACATCTACATAAAGGGGGTCAACATTAAAAAGTTGACCAAACAGGGTCTACTGAAGATCGGCTTCTGTCCGCAGAAGAACATCTTGTTGAACTATATGACCGGCAGGGACATGTTGAAATTCACCGGCCTGAGCTGTGGCATTAAGAAAGATTTAGTTCCGGTCATTATCGGCAAATTGGCCGAACGGTTTGTGCTCACCAAGAGCCTCGATCTGAAGATCAGGTACTACAGTGCGGGCACCAAAAGGAAACTGAATATCGCCATGGCTGTGCTGGCCCACACGCTCGTCTGCCTCGACGAGCCCACTACCGGCGTGGATATCAGTGCCCAGGAGGAGATTTGGGTGGTGCTCAGCGACATGCGCGAAATGGGCAGAGCCCTGCTCCTCACCTCGCACAACATGCTGGAGTGCGAGAAGGTATGCTCCTGCTTGGCCATCATGGTCAATGGAAGCCTGCAGTTCTACGGCTCGGTGCAGCAGATAAAGCATTACTACGATAAGGGCATTACTATCCGGATTCAAGTGGCCACCGAAATGGAAATGTTGTTGGGGTGAGCGATGGTAGTAGTATGGGCACCACTGATCCTGATCCTGACTCTGATCACACTTTTAGATCTGACGACTCTTCTTTGCACGAATCGGAAGTGATAATCGAAAGAGATGGTAGGTTACGAGAATGGGCCACCTTTGAATGTTTCAATACATAGATTATTGATGAAATTCTCCATTATTCCTTTCAGCTAGTGTATCGACCGTGAATTCTGGTATGTAGACGGTCAGAGTCTAAATGGCCGATGGAAAAGCAGTGTCTAAACACATATCTCTCATTCAATTCTCTATTTCCAGAGACAAGGTGGATGTCTAAAATGACGGTTTTGTCCTCTGAAGATGATGTCAACACGAAAGGAACACAGACTGACAAAAAAAAACGAAAGAGAACTGCGCCCTTATTGACGGAAGAGTCCTCAACGCTTATAAAACAAAAGTCATCCTCCATATTTTCGAGGAGCTGGGGTGATTCGCACATCAGTACGAATGAGTTAACTGAATATGCTGAATTGATCCGCAATGTTGAAGCGAAATTCAAGGCTGATTTTCCAGACTGCTATGTCATGTAAGAGCTGTACTCTATATACATTTTAGCAACTAATCCCTTACTAATTTTAGAGAGAGTTACGCGTATCGTGGCTACGTGGTTATCGTAATACCCGACAAAGACGTCAAGTGGTCCACAATATTCAGATACGTTGAGCAGAAACGCAACTCATTGCAAATCAAGCATTATTCGATTAGTGAGACATCGCTCGAGGATATCTTTATCGATTTCGCGAAACAGCAGGATTCGGACTAAATTGATCGATCAACCAAAATCTGTCTACTGAGAATGTTATGTTGTTAGCTGTTAAAGCAGAAATTTTTTAGTGAAATCTCTCATTTGCGTACCTGAATGCAAATTCAGTGCCGATCACTGAACTTGCGGTCATGTATGTCTAATGTGGAAAAAATAACTCAATTTTCAATTTATCATTCGTGTCATATTCTTAGGGGAATCGTGTTAGAGTCGAAATGTAAGCCGCCAGCCAGCCTCGACTTTGGACTCTCATTTCGCATTAACGCCGACTCTTGTTTTGCTTTTTGAATATGTATGTCAACACAGAATTTTGGTACTTTGAACTCTATGGCTTCACTAAAACTTTCCACACACACACACACTCACAGCCGCCGCCGTCTATGTCTCGACTTTGGACTCTATTTTCGCATTAACGCCGACTCTTCTTTTACTTTATAAATATGTATGTCAACACAGAATTTCGGTACTCTGAACTCTATGGCTTCATTAAAACTTTCCACACACACACACTCACAGTCGCCGGCGTCTATGTGTGTGAGTTAACTGTCTCTTCGATTTCTGGGCTCAATTAGATCAATTAGAGCTTGCCGCATTCAATTTATAGACACACATTTCAGTTGTTGTCTCTAAACAAAACAATTGCAAAGTTAACCCTTCGCCCTGCCATTTCAGTCAATTGGCGTTTATATCGAACCTTGCACTCGACGATATGACGTTTGGGCAGCTCGCATGTTCATATAACGTAACAAAATTATGAAATTGTTCATTCATTTCTAATCATAGAACACTGAATAGCACAACCTTACTGATTGCGTCAAATTCGCTTATCAAAATTCGCACGTATGAAGTTGATACTGTCTATATATACATACATACATACACATATAGTATAGTATACAACATACATACATACATATATGGAATTCGATTCCACAGTCATTTTTCAATGCACTTGAAACGTTTGCAATTGCTTAAATAACTTTGGTGCATTCAGTGTAAATGCACAACAATATTTTAATAATCAGCAAATGTTGCTTCACATAAATATTTATACAAGTATATTAATATAAGTACAAATTTTCGATAACTTAAATTCAACTTTGTTCATTCGTTTTCACACACAGGGGTCAATTGTATATGTGTATGTATATGTAGGTGTATATGTATTGTGGTTAGTGTATTTGGTACATTTTTAAAGATAGCACAAAAGAAACTTAAACTAACAAAAAGTAAAAAATAATCAATCAAGACCGGCTCTCCGCTGCACTAGAGACTCTTGGCTTGCAGTCCCTAATGCAACGCCATAGTTACTAATCCTTGAGGTTATTTGAATTTGTGGCATTCGTTACGTTCACCCACTGAATATCAGCTAGTTATTTCTACGAGGTATACAGACGTGTGCCTAACACATCCTAGTTAACAGTAATATTTGTATGTATATATATGTAGGTTGTATGCTCTTGCAAAATGGAAGACGTTATTTGCGCCCCAAGCAGTTGATCATCTATAGCTATACGCAGGTATACAAGTAGGTCACATTGTTATGCACGTTTTAGGTACGACAACTGCTAAAACAGCTGATAGTATTTTTTGGCAAGCAATTCCCACAGTTCATGCTAATTATACCATGTCATTTAGCAATTAAAATAAATTAGAATTCTCTTATTAGGTGGCTCCAGTTGCCTGTGTTAGCTTTCTTAGTGTTTCATCTGGGTTAGCATGCGCCTGCTTCGTCAAGTGCTGGCGTCGCCAGCGTCGCGAGAGGATCGGCGCAAACAGATCATAGTCCAGCTGCTTGTGGCACTTATCGAAATAGATTTGGGAGTTGTCCGCGAGGTTGAAGTGAGCGAGCGTTAGGCTGGCACAGTAGCCAATTGCAATGGTGACTAAGAAGCCCAGGACACAGAACCACAGATAGGATAAGCGATATAGCCAAAAGAAGTGCGGCTCCGCTCCGGGCATCGTCGCCTGCACCGCCTGCGCCACCTCAGTTACATTCCTCAATTCACACCCGGTGGTGCTCAATGGCAGTGGTGTTGGGGCCGGCTTCGGTCCGCCAAAGCCAATCCAAAAGGCGAAGGTAAGGCCTAGCAAGAAGCCCAGGAGTACGCCACGCTGATTTGTACGCACAGTGCACACGCCCAGGGTGAAAATGCCAAGCAGTGGTCCGCCCACAACGCCAAAGATTGTCAATGAGGCCTGCAGCACGCCACCCATGGAGCCAGCGCCAAAGGCCAACAGTATGCAGAGCAGTCCATAAATGCAGGCAATGATCTTAGTGGGCAGCGTTGACTGGGAGTCGATGAGCGTACGCTTGAAGATGGTCTTGTACAGTGGCTTGAGATAGTCCTCCAGCGTAACGGCAGAGAGCGAGGTGACGGCCGAGGATACTGTCGATAAGCTCGCCGAGAAGATACCCGAAACAAAAAGGCCGCATAGCCCTGGATATTGACCTGAAGTAGGAAACAAAATAGTTCATGATTTGTTGGATCAATTTTCAATCACCCATTATCAATTTACCCATTGTATCCACTGCAAAGAGCGGCATAAGCTGATCCCGCGATTTGATGCGTCCATTGAGAACAGGATCGCAGTCGCGGTAGTAATAGAAGATGGCCAACCCACTGAAGATGGTGCTAAAGCTAAGCATGCCCAGAATAGGCAAATTCCACCAAAGGGCGGACTGGGCACTCCTTAAGTTGTGCACACTCAGAAGCCGCTGCACCTGCGTCTGATTGACGCCGTAGAGTGAGAGGTAAGTGACCATGCCGCCGATTATCAATGACCACAAGGTGTGCCGAACGGTCAAGTCCATTGAAAAGTCGAAGTACTGCACACGACCGCGCTCCTGGGCCACATCCCAGATGGCTCCCAATCCACCAGCTTGAATAGCCGACACGCCAATCACAGCAAAAATGGCTGCGAACATGAGGAACGACTGAAACACATCCGTGATGAGCACAGCCTTCAAGCCACCCAGTGTGGAGTAAAAGGTGCACACAAGGCCCAGGACAAGTATGGCCGTGCCTCGGGGAATGCCCGTCACCGCCTCCAGTGCCAGAGCCGGCGCATAAAGAGCAATGCCCATATAGAGCACCATTTGCAAGGTGAATGCCATAGAGGCGGCCAGACGCGTCGCATGGCCGAAGCGTCGTTCCAAGTATTCGTAGACACTTGTCGTGCGCATCCGATAGAAGACTGGCAGAAATATGTAAGCGGCAATCGGAGTGCTCAGCGCATACGACACGTTTATGGCACCGAACAAGGTGCCGAACTGATACGACTCGTTGGAGACGCCCATTAGTGAGATGCCAGACATGAAGCTGGCCATCAGGCTAAAGGACACCGGAAACGTGGTCATGCTCTGATCGGCCATGAGATACTCCTGTGTTGTCTTTTGCTTGCCGCCCGTATACCGGTAGTATATGCCGATCAGTGCTGATATTATTAAAATGCTCACCAACACTAGGGCATCCCATATATCAAACGTTCCGATGGGCATTTTGATTGTGTGTTTTTTGTTTTTTATAATTATTCCGGGTTATTCAACGTATTTACAATTATTGATTTTTCACACGGCGTTATTACACAGCACAGTTATTGACCTCCTTCACTGTCAATGTTTCTTGCAAATTTTATGGAAAGTTTACACACACACGAATATATTATAGAAATACGAGAAAAATAACACGCGATTATAAACAAATAACCAAAAACAAAGCGCGAATCAACCGCTAACACAACCGCAAAGTTTTGCCGTTGAATAACAACTGATTTATTAAAAGCTTACAGCGTTGCCACCTGTTGGAGCAATTTTGTCTCTGCGCAATGTAAGCAGCTCACAGCTGTTGCTGGCAAAACGGAGCAGACAATATCAAACACATTTTGAATCTGCTGCGTATCAGCTGCAGAGAGACGTTTGTTTACATTTCGGAGCAACTAAGAGTAATTATGAAATTGGGAAATTGTTTAAAAAATGTAAATAAAAATTTCGATAAATATCTTTAATTTTTATAGAGATGGTTATGTATATATACATACATGTGTAAATATGTTCGTCATACATATTTTGCTTACATTTATCAGAAACAATATTCGAATTAAGACTTTGATTGCAGGATGCATGTGCCCTGGTGACGCCGTTTATCGCGTCTCTTGCATTCATCGCTGCAGTACGAGGCAGTAAAGCAGCAATCGAACTCCGCCTCCTGTAGGCAGTGCTGACACCATCTTTTGCGCTTCACTGTCTTCAGCTCCTCCCTCAAGTTCTCTTGTTCAGTCTTGCTTCGTGTCAGTTCCTCGCTTAGGAACAAAACTTTTTGCTGCATCGCATGATAGCCAACAAACGGTTCTCTTAGGCCAGGCGATGGCAAATACGAAGTCGTCTGCATTGAGATTTCTCGAACTGCCTCCGACCTAACGGCCATGGAACAGCGACGCATGGGCTGTATGCGTTTGGATGTTAATGGCAATACAGCTGATGTTATTTTGCGTTTCTTGGCAGATGCTGGCGTGCCAGCGCGTGAGCGCTTAGCCGAGACATTTACATCAGCCGGCTCCATGCAATGGGGTAGTGCACGGTTAATAAGCTCTTCCGCTTCACGAGGATCCGCATAGAAGTTAAACAAATACATAGGCTGATGCAACAACATCATGTGACATCTGAGTTCACGCAGTGCCAGGTTAAAAGTACGCGTGCTCTTCCACTTGGCGTTCAGCTGAGAAATGTCCGCATCTATTGGGAGTATATCACGCGCAGGCACCAAGGCACGCGAATGGGTGCCCCCGAAGTACCGCACATCGTAAATATCGGTCCTCTTGGACATCACGCGTATAACCTGCGAATGAAGGAATATATGATTATACAGAGAATATATTTGTATTGCAGTTTCTACTTTAGCCGGCCAGTGAGGCGATCCATGTTGCTTGGCATAGACCAGTTCGTGACGCTGCGTGCAGGGCTTGGCGAACCAGAATGGCGATCGATCTGATTCGTTTGAATAACGATAGCAATCGGAGCAGCGCCGTATTTCACGTATATCGTGTGTAATGTCGCGCAGAAGCCATTTAGTTGCATTGTATTCCTCGCTGTTGGTGCCAAAGAAGATGCCAGTGTTATGCTGCAAGTCGAGCAGGTCAATGAGGAACTCGGACAAGTGCTTGTACTTCCTCAACTCAATATTTGTAGATATATCTGACAAGCCCAAAATGTCGTTCTGGAAAAGCACAGTCTTAACAAGTGCCGCATCGGGCTCGCTCCAATGCTTTGCCATATACTTCCGCACATCCTTCTTCAACCAAGTGTGGTGCGTTTGCCAGCTGTAGCCCAGCAGGCAGTTCAACTCTTCGATCGATACGTGTGGCGGA